GCCTGACTTCCCGCCGCCCCCCACACCCGCCCGGCAGTCCCGCCCGCCTCTGCCCTGGCCGTTCCTCCCGTGCCCAGCTCTGCCCCACCAGCTTCCACCTTCATCCAGGTCTCGGCCGGGCAAAGCCTGCCCTGCGGTCTGGCGGCCACAGCCCCCTCCCAGCCCGCAGCCTCCTCCCCGCCCTCGGGCACCTGAGCCACAGGATTCATGCCTGGGGCTGGTGCTGTCCTCTGCCCCAGCAAGTTCTATCTGTCCTATCTCCCGTGTCTAGAAGTGTGCACCCAGCAGAGGTCGGCTAAACGGGCTGGGGCCCCTCAGTGCCACATGGGGACGGTCACTCACCCCTTCCCGACCCCCGGCCCGGGCTGCCCTGGGCCAGCTGCCTCCAGCGACCGGCCCGCGGGGGCCGCGTCCTGACCTGTGGCCCCACCCCTGTCCTACCTTCCCCAGGTCTCTGTGAAAACGGGCGCAAAACCTCGAGGACGGACACGCGGGTGCGAGCGCCCAGGTTGGAGGTGCCCACGGGTGCTCCGAGGCGCACGGCAGGTGATACGCCCGTCCCTCGCTCCTCCGCCCATGTGGCTGCAGGGGGTCCTCCCCAGCGATGGTGTCCACCCACGTGACCGACCCCCCTCCCTAGTAGCACCTACTTTGCAGAAGGGGAAACTGAGGCCCAGAGCGAGCGGGGCCGAGCAGCCAGAGGGGCTTGTCCAGGCAGCCTGCACCACCCTCCCCGGCCCTACGGGGCCCCAGCTCCCGGCTCCCCCCGGCCCTGCGCTGCAGCCCTCGGCCTGGTGGAGCAGACACCACCCTCGCCCTGGCTGGTTCCCCTCCTGGGATGCTTCCCCACCTCTGCAGTCTCTCCCACCTGCTCAAACGTCACCGTCTCGGGGAGCACCCCCCGAGCCCTCCTCACCCTCCGACCCCTTCGTCTGTTTGGTCCTGAGCACTCTGCAAGAAGGCTCAGGCCACACGCGGGTTTCTCGGTGGACTTGGTGGACGCCGGATGCCTTTGGGGCCCAGCCCGCGGGCATGGGGGAGGGGTGGAGGTGCTGGGAACACTGAGGGATGCTGAGGGACGTCCCCTCCAGGAGGGGCCACAGAGAAGGAAGCAAAGAGGGCTCGGGGGCTCAGGCAGGGGAGGGAGGGACAGCGAGGTAACCACCCCCACCCCGAGGGCGCGGTGGGCAAACAGGAAATTCTTGTTTGTGGCCAAACGGTCAGCATGTCTCCCGCTGGAGCTGGTTTTGCTGCTGACCAGGCCCAGGTGAGCCCCGAAGCTGAGGGGTTCCCTGGTATGGGACCCCTCCCCAGCCCGCCGGCCCAAAAGGCCACCGCGGCCACCAGCGAATCCACCAACCACATGTTTGGGGGGTGCTGCCAGGGCCTACCACACAGGAGGCCCCCTCCCCAGCACCAGTGGGCTGGCTGAAGGTCACAGTGCCAGAAGGCCCCGCCCGGCGCCAGGCACCAGTTCCCAGCCCGCCACGGGGGGCCCAGGGGCGGTGTCACGCCTTGAGGGGCCCAGGCTATAAAGGAGCCGCTCACAGGGCCCCCAGCAGGACCTTTGTCCCCTAACGGTGTCTGCTCAGGCCCTCTCCCGCCACCCAGGTGGCTCCAAAGTCCACAGGGCCCCACCTCCGGATGAGGCCACTGGGCTGGCGGGGGTACCCCAGGAGTGAGGCCGTTGTCCTTGAAGGCAGAGAGGACCGAACCGGGAAAAGCCCAGAAACTACCTAGTACCCAGGGTCTGGGGAACGGCGAGCCCCGAGCCACCGAGAAGAACAACCGTCCCCCTGGCAAACGGGCATGGCGGGGACACCCCACCTGGCAGAGCCTTTTTTAAAAAGCATGTTTTTGTGCTGTCCTTACAGCCCACGTTAAGCCACAGAAGCACGTCTTTCTCCCCGGCCAGAAACGGGCTGGGGGACACGCAGCCCGGGCGGGAATGGACCTTGCTGGCAACGCTGTGTGCCCAGAAGCCT